ACGCCGCTACGGCGCGCCCCCGCAGCCTGGTGACCGCGCCCAGCCCAGCGTGCTAGCCCGAGAACGTGCTGTGCACGGATTTTAAAACAGCAACTACAACTAAATCATTGCCTCTAAACCGAAACCGACTTCACCACGATCAAACTGATACATGAGGCTGCTCATCCGAGCTAAACACCGCATCGCCCTCTAACCCAATCTCTAAATAAATTGCTAAACTTAGCAATGTTTAGCTATTGACAAACTTGGAAAATTTCTAAGTTTTGAGCTGAATTTGATTTCAATTTGTGATTTCTAAGCTATTGAAAATATTAGCTAGTAATATCATTTTTCAACGGCAAGTATTTTAATGTTATTTACAAAGTTCATATTTCAAATTTCATTTAAGTGTCACATGTATGTTTTATGGTGCTTTTGCTCAATAAAAATTAGTTATTTTAGGCTATAAAAAATTTATCAACACCTTCTATCACATGTATTATTACACAAACACGATGCTCGTGACATGATTTAGTAGTGGGTTTAGGGGTTTAGGTTGTTATAGCACGCCTCTTCGTTCCGTCCTGCTTTCCTATTTCCATTTTCACACAAGAAACAGCAGTCGCTCAGCACAGCACGGTAACCTTCAATTGCTCGTTCATCCATCAGACCATCACGCAAACGGCAAAGAGCGGCAGCAGTGGACTGACTGACGCTGAATGGCCATGGCTAGTTGGTTGCTGACAGAAGAACCGAGCACTGTTGCGTGCAGCCTCGCTGTAGGGGTTGCGGTCGACAACAGTGGCAAGTGGGGGTGGACTGCAAGCTCGGAGCGGCGACCCGGTCTTTTCCTGTGAATGCCAGGCGGAGACGGGAGATGGGACTACGGGAGTCCGGCGACGGCGAGAGGAGCCGGGGAGCGGGGAGAATGATGGGACAGACATTGACGAAGCACCGTGCACCGACCACTAGCTTGCCTTGCCCAGATGGGACTGGGAGACGGCATCGGCGTGCCGTTGGATCCTGTCCTCACACTGTGCCCCCATTATGGTGAGGTGATCGAGCAACGGACAGTCATGCACGGAACGGGACGGAACAAGCCACCCGTGGGCCGTGGCAGAGGACCAAAGACTTGTCAGCGGACGACGCTCTGCTGCAAGTTGGCAGAAATTTTCGTCCCAAAATGGTGGAGACCAACTGCACCAGATCGGGAGAGGCAGGGAAGGAACGATATGGGATTTTTTTTGTGTGGAAAATAACGATATGGGATGTTGATGTTGCATTGCATGAGGGAGCCCCAACGCAACACGGCGGTGTGCTTACTGCTTCACTGGTGCTCCTTGGAACATCATGTCACAAAACAATGCCACCTTTACGGCTTTATTACTTCCACAACGTGAAGCATCACTTGCTCAGTCAGCCTGTTCGCTGGTTTCAAGTATGCTTATCGCTCGTTAACATTGTTTTTTTTTTAATCTAAGGTTTATCAACCGGAAACCAAAACAACGAGCAGGCCGAGTTTTGGACCTATAATATACAAATCGGGAGGCCGTATCGTATCGTGGATTATTTACTGCGGACTGATTTGGTGTGAGAGAAAAACACTATTCCCGACTGGAAATTTACGATCATTTACAAGCAAACGAACAGGCTGATAGGACTAAAAAAATTTAACTCACGTGCTCTCTTCTTCTCAGTCCAGCGACAGCAAGAACTTTTCAGGAGCAAGTACCAGCGCTTCGACTTGCGCCGATGCCAAGAAATTTTATTTTGGTCATCAATATCTGCAATGTTTAAGCATCGGTAGAAGTGATGCTCAAAAACCAAAAAGTGATTTTGAGCGTCACCTCGTCACTACACTACGGAAGGCCTAAGTGTCCACCTATGTGTTCAGTTTCAAGTTACGAATTCGCAGACGTTTATAGTGACCTGCAGAGGCACTAGTATCCGTGTCTGACGTGGATCATACATAAATTTTGAAGACTGAAAAGCGTGTTAAAATGTCGCCTTGGGAGGAGAAAGGGAGAAAAGCCGGTGCATGCATTCCTTTTGGCTCTGCTGGACTTTACCCTATATGGCTAATGATGGTGTAGGTCTACGTTGTTGCTGCCCTTAACAAAGTCAACAATGGTGAAGCTAGCCGAGCATAGCTGCAATGGGATCTACAGAGATGAGATCATGAGAGGGAGGGGTGATTATAGTAGCGGGTTTTAGACGCCATGCAGAAAGTGATGTTTTAACTTTGTTTTTCGCTGGAGCGTGGAAGCAAATGACATTCGTGAGACCCTGGGATAATAGAAAAGGAAAAGGAATCTCTTCGAGACACATGCTTGATTTCCTCTTGATTTGTTCAAAAGCAAGCAATGTAGGAACAAAATCATTTTTTATTACGTGAGTATCGATGAATGCAGATAAATTGAGGTACAAGCATTGCGCCTTGTGAAAAACAATGCTTGGATCTTCTCTTCTTTGAACCATACTTTTTTTCACACATTGTGGCTGCTCTAAGGCTCCCTTCATAGCTAAGCTTCTCTTCACTGATTCACCGCTTAGTGCTTCCTAATGCGACACCATGTCTTGTGGTCTCAGGCTCCATGTCTACCTTCTACATAAATATCACATCGAACGGTGGCCTCACATTGCTCCAAAGAAGCCTATAGAGGTACCGAGGACCTCATTGTCATGTACTCTACTCAAATGTAAGCGGGCCTTTGGTGCGGGCAATCAAGCCGGACCGCTACATATCTAGGTGGGCGTTGGACCTGCTCGATCAACTAGGAGAACACCCACAAAGAAATAAAGGGACAACTGTACAGGAGAAAATTGACATGAACCAGAAGGTTGCAGCCCCTTCTTCCTCTCTCTCTTGGATCCCCTTCTCTTGATGCTCTCCATCTGACCCCCTTCTCTCATTGTTTCTACCACCTAGTATTTACCTTTAGTTCTAAGATTTGCCCCCAAATTGTATTTTCAAATACTCTTGGATGTAGTGAGATTTGGCTTTAAACCCACAATTGCTTGAAGTTAATTTATGCATTCAGTGAGACAATCAAGCAGGTTCATAACACTCGTCTAACAAAAAGTTCATGCACCCGGTAGAATGTGCATTGCAGAAAGGAAATAGCCTCAACGCATGTTTTAGAGGAACCCAACAATCAAACACATCGAATCCTTGCATGCTAGGCCACATCAAGTACGACAACGATGCTTTCTACTGGCCATACTGATCTTATATTTAACGCTATGATATATTGCTCGTGCTAACGCTACATGTCACATTCTAATCTTATTTTTGCTTCAGACTAACACTATTGTTAGCTTGCACTGATGCTGCCCTTATTTGTCGCAATCTCTTCTATACTTAGAGTCTTGGACAAGAGTGACGCCAAGCCAAGCTCTTCTTTGTTCAGCAACTTGATCTAGATTCCTTTGGAGATAAGTGGAGCTATTGATTGCAATAACGAGGATGAGGGAGAAGAGGTTCCTGCTCTATAAAAGTCAATGGCATGTAGATCCAATAAGAAAGCACAAAGAAAAAATCATAAAAAAAACATATTGGGAAACATTCAGGTTTTTTGGCCAACTTCTCATAGCAACTAATCATAAGCTGGCTTCCAGGTAAGTTTCAAATACGCTAAGGGCCCGTTTGATCTAGAATTGAATTAATTCTAATAACTTATAATTTAGAAATAATTAAGCTAATATGATTGTACATGGAATATATTTGTATACTACCGTTAGCCATGTAAAAGATATGCTTGTATGTTGTATTTCTACTATAGGAAAGCAAGTTGAAGAGCATGCTATAAGTTGAAAAGTAGAAACATATCACGACGATTTATAGAATCAATTTTCATCTTTCACCTTATGAATTTAAGATAGGCATATGTGAACTTTGAAAAGTTATGGAATCTTAAATTCCAAACAAAATAGCATAATCCATTAACTAGATTCTAATCCTTCTAAAATAAAAGGATCCAAACGGTCCCTAAAGAGATTTGTTAGAAAATATGCAAACGGTCATAGATGATTTCACGGGAAATCAGTCCCAAAATGATCTTAGCATAAACCATTGAGTTAGAAGAAGCCCTGTTCAAAATAAATGCGAAGAAAAATGCTACGTCACCATTTGAAATGGAAAAGATTCCAATAGACCCCCTCATCGTACATATGGGTATTTAGCGTTCCAATAATTTATTATAGTTTCGTAGTTTTTAAAAACAAAATTTATATCTTCTCTATATAAGTATATGATCATAAAACACGTTGTATGCTCAGCTATATAAGGATGTACTCGTACACTCGTATTGAATCTACATGAGATATTGTCAAACTCAACTAAGGTATACTCTAGACATAAAAAGTACCACAAACTTAGAAAAAATTTGGAAGCGCCGAGGAAAAAAGTAACAGTTGAACCTGGAGAAAGTAAACATGTTTTAGGCTCCGAGCTTGTCTTTAAAAAAGTAACAATGGTGTTTTCTCTCACAACAAAAGTAAACATGTTTTAGAGTTGACCACCAAATTTCAATGACGGGGCCTTAGAGTTGATAGTTTCATAATTAATGTATAAATTACTCCATCCACTCTAAGAAGAACGTATCTCTCACTTTTTGAAAATTCAAACAATTTTAAGTTTAACCAAATTTATATAAAAAATACTAACATTTTTATATCAAATAAATAACATTACATTGATTACCGAATATATTTTTATAAATGTTGATTTTTTTATAAATCTGGTTAAATTTAGATAAATTTGGCTTATCCAAAATGTAGATTTATTTTTTTAGTGACGGAGAGTGAAGACATTTGCAACCTTTTTTTCCTTTTATTTATAACAAAGAAAAGAAAAAAAATAAAAAGTAAAAAGTAAAACCCAGCCGTAGCCGGCCAGCAGGTAGACGAAGGACGGCACGGGCTACCCAACCATCTCCATTCTCCACTTCTCCAGATCCCCCTCCGCGATCCACCTTCGCGTGCCTACCACGGCGCCGGTGCCGAAGCCGGCGACCGTGGCCATGCAGTCGCCGGAGCCCTCCTCCTCCTCCTCCCCGGTCCTCCTCAATATAGGTCCGTGCCTTTCCCTTGCCTGATCCACCGCCCCCTTTGCCGTTCAGGGTGCGAATCAGAGTATCTCTGGTCTTAACATTTTATTCACGGCGATGCAGGGGGCAAGAAGTATGCGACCACCGTGGAGACACTGACGCAGCGGGAGCCCGACTCCATGCTCGCCGCCATGTTCAGCGGGCGGCACACGCTCCCGCAGCACTCAACCACGGTACGCCCGCTGGTTCTTGCAACTCCCGTGGGCTGTGGTCTCAGCGGATGGGTTGAATGGTTTTTGCCATTGTGTCTAGGGGAAGGGGATGGTGTTCGTTGACAGGGACGGGAAGCACTTCCGGCACGTGCTCAATTGGCTCAGGGACGGCGCCATCCCCGTGCTGTCGGAGTCCGACTACCAGCAGCTGCTGCGAGAGGCAGAGTACTACCAGTTGCTCGTAAATAGAATAACGCTCGATAGCGTCTCGTTTCCTTACAAATTCTGATCTCATTCAACTGTTGTCCATAAGGCGATGGTTTCTGCTCTAGGGTCTAGCTGATTACATAAACGAGAGGCTGGCTTGGAAGAAAGCCGACAGTTTGGAGGCTGAATTGACACGAAAGGACGTGATCAAGAGGATACAGGCGCAAAGAGTCAGATTCCGTGGCGTGAATTTGTCTGGCCTTGATCTGTCTAAGCTTGTAAGATCTTGGTAGAATTTCTACTGTTGTTATCTATCCACATTATTGACTATTGTTCCTTTGTCATTCGAGCTGTTGTTACTCTGATTTCTACCACTCTGCTAGCTTATCTTTGTGTGGTGTCCATGATCAATTTGACAGTGTTTAACTCTCTTTTCAGTTTTTTTGTAGTTTACAATTTGCACTCTGAAAATATGTTTTTTCAATGCTCTGCAGGACTTATCAGAGGTGGACTTCAGTTATGCATGCATTAAGAACACTGATTTTTCATGTGCTAACCTTTACAAAGCAAAATTTGGGGTAAATCAGTTACACCAAAATCCTTTATTGTTGTTTGCCATCTTCTTAGCAGTAGCAGTCTGTAGAAACTATGCTAATTTACTTGTCTGTGACTGTATAAATGTTTCAATTCCGTCTCATATTTCTTAAAAAGAGCTTCTTAGTATAGTTCTTGGTTAAGATTTTTGCTGTATAAAATGAAACATTTTACTGATGATACCATACCTCTATATTCTTATCAGCAGGTGGAAGCATTGTCTTCATCCTTCCAAAACGCAAATTTGCGTGAGTAAGAAACCATTCTACTTATCAGCAACTGCGTGGCTTCTTCTATCTCTCTCTAGAATTTAGCATTCATGTTCACCGCTTCGGAATAACAGGTGTGAGTTTATTGGAGCGAATCTTCAAGAATCTATTCTGGATGGAGCAAACCTTCGAAGTGCCAACTTGCAAGGTAGCAGTGCTCACATTAATCATGTTCCTTCATTTCTTGGTTCTTGACAACTGTACTATTGTTGGATATCTTTGTCAATTGTACTATGTCTCTAGCATTATGTATGAATTTTGATACTTCCATATTTTTGCAAGGACCATTGTTGAGTTGCTATAGGCCTATAAGTGATATTGGTTCTAAGTTTCAGTAGCAAGTGATTATAAAAAGAAAAACATATGCTCTGTCTATTTTGCAGATGCATGCTTAACACGATGTAGCTTCATTGAAACGGATCTTCATTCTGCCCATTTACAGGTATGCAAACTATTGTGCATGCTACTCAGCATATTGTGTTCCTGTTCACATACACTATACTCATGTCAAAATCTTTATGGACAGTGGAATAAATCATAGTGTATTTTTATTTTTGCTCTGTTGTTGGATGTTAGTGCAGTGATACTATGTTTATATATCAGCATCCAAAATGTGGCAGCAGAATCCAGTGTTTGCTGAAGTGCACTCAGGAGACATGCCTGTTTGTTTTCCTTCATAGGGATAATGCTGTATTATTTACCTATATTGGTGCAAATAAAAGATTCATATCAACTGGCTTTTAGTAGGCCGTAAACCATAAATATTGAAATCTGATTAGTACCTGTGCATCTTATTGCCCATTCAATTGGATTTTCAGACTGCTAATCTTACACAAGCCAACTTAAGAGGAGCTAACCTTGAAGCAGCCAATCTCAAGGTAAAGTGAAACTTCATGTAATCATGTGACACAATTTCCTAGGAATGTTGATTGTTTTTTGCCTGTTAGAACTGAAGCAAGTTTGTGACAGTATAATCTCTAACCATCATGGTGAAGGCTTTAGCCTATCATGTTCATACTCTTAGCGTGGTAAAAAATATCCATGCAGTTCAAAACTATTATTTGCTTCCTTTACATTATCTATTCCACACGCCATGAATAATACTGGAGTATGCTATCTGACAAAGGAGCAAACATCCTTTTAGCAAAATCATTATTTTTATTACACACATCTATGTGACTACTCCCATGTTACCTTTTTTATGGCATAGGATCGATGAGTTGGGTGTTTTTTTTTTGGGTAAAGCATTATTCGGTTCTTAGACTTCGATCAAATTTGTGAGTTCCTTAATTAATATGGGCAGCAAGGGGCATATGCATACTAGTCATATCAACAGATAAGCATTCAACAATTTACATAAGTGACACTTTGAATGCACCTCTTGTTACTGTCTATAACCATTCAATATGGCCTGTTTGGTACAGCTTCTCTGGGAAGCGCTTCCCAGATAAGCTGCACAAATAGAGTAAAAGTGGCGGTCAAAATAAGCTGGTCTGATCCAGCTTCTGCTTTTTAGTACAAATGGGAGCTATGGGAATAAGCGTGGCCAGAATAAGCTACTGAAAAGCGTGGCGTTTGGCTGTTGATTTCAGCTTATTTTGGCCATAAGCAGCTTATAAGCTGTACCAAATAGGCCCTATGATGTGCCATGGAAGCCATTTTTTGTTACTGAAACATACAGTCCTGAGCATTGACACCAGTCCTTATTTGCAGTTGTACTAATCCTCATTACTTTTCTTAGTGAAACCTACTTTGTGAGCATGTGCTGAAGCTTATTTTTATTTTCAGGGTGCTAAGTTGTCTGGTACAAACTTGCAAGACGCAAATCTTCAGAGAGCTTACTTGCGAGAAGTTGATTTGCGTGACACTGTATGTTCTTGCGTCCTGTCCCATTTACTAAGGATCTTGGGTCCTCCTGTTTACACTTTACAGTCTACCTCACGTTCTGTGCAAGTAGTTTCTACACATCTCATGATACCAACATATAGAAATCGAAGGATGAATTTTAATTGCGTTTACTTTGGTCAACAGCAATTGACTGGTGCTAAGCTTGGAGGTGCAAATCTGCTTGGAGCTATCAGATGATCTACAGTTTGCCCGTGTAGCTTCATACTGTGTATACTGTACTGTACAATTTCATTGGAGGTAATGCCTGAGGCATGATCATCTGTGCAATACTGGTCTCGATCATGATTGAGAACACAAATATTCCCTCCTTCCAAAATAAATCAATTCATAGAATCACCCTAAGTCAAACTATCTTAAGTTTGACCAACTTTATAGGAAAGGATAACAGTATCTATGACACCGAATAAGTACATTATGAAAATACATTTCATATGTATCTTGTGATACTAATTAGGTGTCATAAATATTGGTGCTCTTTTTTACAATTTTGATCAAACTTAAAATAATTTGGATTAGGATAACTCTAGAAGTTGATTTAGTTTGTGACCGGAGGGAGCACATCAGAGAAAAGTATTGGCTCAATCCTGTCAAGTACACCATCTATGGAGTTCTTTGTACGCTGTCCTCTGATTGGAAGTTTAGCAATCTTAGCTGTTAGCGATCAGAGCTGAAACCATCATCAGTCCACTGTCCACCAGTGGAGTATAAGGTATGGCTGTTCTTAAATCTGAAGTAAGCCGCAGGCACATTTCCTGGGTCACGATTGCAAGTGGACTGATGTACCTGTATCGTTGTTGCTTCGATCTTGGTGTCATTATCATATCATGTGGAGGTGGTATGCACACCATTTTGATAGGTCGTCATGTGTATTACTACGCTGGCTCGGATCAGGCCAGGCCACCGTAGTATAGTAGTACGGTGAAGGTGGATTGGTCGCCGGCTGGAATCACCAGGTTGTCACTTTCCTGCGTCGGCAGCAAATGCTATACAACTACCCGTATTTGTATCCATAGTTTCATGTTTTAAGACTATCTCCAACAACAACATCTAAAATACAAGACTCGTTCAACGTTTGGGTAGCGTTATAATCAAAGAATTCAATACCCATTCAACATCCTCTCGAACAACAGGATCTAAAAGATAATTCTTTCTCTTGGAACTAGAGGTTCGGACAGAGTGAGGGAGACAGGGGGCCTCCGCCCGTCAGGAGTCGCCCTCGGGCGGAGGCTCGGGAAAGGCACGATAGGTGAACTTGTGGGAAGCTGGCACGAGAAAGTAGGGTTTCATTCATTCATTCACCTCCCTTCCGCACGGTTACAAGTGTTCCCTATTTATAGGGCTCAACTACTTTCCGACGAAATTTATTACAATGCCCTCAAGCTGCTCTGATACATTCTCGGAATATTCCACCACTGGTCTCTCGCTTATGGGGCAATCCCGCCACACCGCTCTCCAAGTAACGGGCCTCCATAAGCGGCAGCCGCCCATAGTGCCTCGATCTTCGCCCAAAGGCCGGGTTCCCGATCGTTGGCCTCTCCGTCTTGGGGCGCGCCATCGCTTTGGCGGGTCTCCGCCCGGTCCGGCCGGAGACATCGTCCAGTATGTCTCCGCCCGCCACGTGGGGCCGTGGTTCCCACGCCGCCCACGTCATCGGGGCGCGCCGTCGCCTTGGCGGGTCTCCGCCGGTCCGGTCGGAGACGTCAACCGTGGGTCTCCGCTTCGGCCGCCATGGGGGCCTTCTTTGGCGACTCGCGCGGACCACAGGCGCTGCGCTTGAGTACTGCACACACTTAGGCAAGATTGTTTGTTTAATTAGTTCAGAGGTAAGGCGGCCTCCGCCCTCATCGCGGGGGCGCCTGTGAGCGAAGCGGGCGGCGTCCGCTTAAGCATAGGTCGGAGGTCTCGGCGCAGCGGCACTGGGCGGAATTCGCGACAAGCCCGCCGAGCCTCGTGTAGTGTCCTCTGAGCATAGCCAGAAAGTTCCTTTAGTCGGTGTCGGTCTCCGCCCAAGGCGGTCGAAGACGCCTTGGCGACACCATGCTATCGGAGGCCTTTCGTCACCACCCGCGAAGCCGTGTTACAACAGTTCCCCCCTTTTGAGACCATGGTTCACGCCGGGGCGTCTTTGTGAGCTCAAAACGCCTTGGCCAAAAAAGCGTTCGCATGGCGCGAGGCCACATTCATCGGTGTCTTCGAGCGAGGCCCCGCTACTTCCCCCCTGGCCCGCTCTGGCGTGGCCGCTGGTCTCGTTGAGAGTAGCCGTTGGGCAGCAAATCTAGCCATTGTCCTAAGGCGTGGCCGTTTATGCCGTGTCATTTTCCATTGCATACCTTGACTTTTTCGGAGATGACCGCCAGCGGCGGCGAATTTTCCGGAGGTGACCGTTGTATGGCGGGAGCCGGACCGCCTGCCCGCTGCCTATATAAGGGTGTTGTTGGTGGCGGGGTCCCCCCCGCATTGCTCATTCGCTTTCATTGCATTTGAGACATCGCTCTCTGCTCTCTTCGCTTTCACCTTCCGTTGCCCTCGCGCGTTCCATCTTTCTGCTTGCGTCTCGCGCTTAGGCTGCTATCGCGGTGGCTTTCCTTTTTCGCCTCCGCCCAAACTCGCCGGCCCGCCTTTTTCGGACCCTATCGCCACCTTCTCGGCGTTAGGGCCGTCGTCACTGGTAAGTGCGCTTTGAGGAGTGCATGCTTGCCTCTGCCTCCGTGTTGGAGTTTGAAAAGTTGGTGGAGGAGGATTTGGGGAGTGTCTCTGCGTCTGTCGGAGACCTGATCGCCGTGGATTCCAGAGATATGGCGATAAAGTCTTGGGATTTCGGCCCCTCCTCTATTACTGAAGAGGCAATCACAGAGATATTGAAGGAGTCATGTTTTCCTTCTTCCAGGGTAAAAATCCCTCCGCCGGGCCAGACTATTCTAGAACCGGAGGAGGGATATGCGGTGGTCTTTCGGGACTTCTTCACCTGCGGCCTCCACCTTCCTTACATCCCCTTCCTTCGCTGAGTGTTGGAGACCTTCAGCGTCTAGCTCCACCATCTGACTCCTATCGCCTTCCTCACGCTTAGCAAATTTTCTTTGGGCGTATGCGTTTTTCTGATGCCGAGCCGAATGTGGATACCTTCTGCGCGTACTACGAGCTGCAGAAGCAGCCGAAGAAGAAGAAGAAGGAGGTGCGAGAGGGCAAGGAGGTGGAGGTGACCTACCAGTACGGTAGTTGCACCTTTATGTCTAAGAGGAACCAAGGCGCGGACCGCCATGAGATCTCTTTCTGTTAAAAGGGCAAATGGGACCGCGGCTAGCTTGAGCAATGGTTCTACATGAAGACCTACGGGGTCCGTAGCACTACCGAGGATGGCGTGGAGTTCTCGGAGTATCCATTGACTTCAAGGATGGAGGAGATGGCGCCACTCACGCGCGTGGATCCACCGGAGGAGGTGTCTCCGACGAGGGAGGCTTGTGATCAGGCTTTTGCGGCAGCGTGCCACTACTCCGGTGGCCACGACCTGGTGGAGGAGATTATGGCCTCCAACTACTGGCCCCTGGGCAAAAACAACCCAGCCTTTTGGCTGGAACAGGTGAAGGTTCCCGTTTTTGGACCGGAGGCCGGGATTCCGTTCCCCGCTTCGGTCAGTCTTTGGGGGAGGGGGTGACGGAGGACAGTTTTGTCTCCGAGGTTGAGGAAGCCGCCGTAGGGTTGGTTGGCAAGATTTCCGAGCGTGAGTACACGTCTTGGATGGTCGTGGCAGGCACTATGCCGTGGCTCAATCGAGTTTTTGAGGAGGTCGGGATCGTCTACCGGGAGCGCGAGGTTCCCGCTGAGGTCATGGCTTTGATTGAGAAGAAGAAGAAGAGGGCCTTCGCGAAGAATGTTACGACGGAGGCCGAGTCTAAGAAGAGGAAGGGCGCCGTTGTTGCTCGGGTGTCCGCGAAAAAGAAGAAGAGCGGTGCTCCATTGATCGCGCTGGCCATGTCTTCTGCCGGTAGTGCGGGCGTTGCCTCCGCCGGCAGTGAAGACGTTGAGAGTTCTTCCGTCGTCGGCCGACGGACGTTGGGTTGAAGCGAAGGGATCGCGGCTCTCCCGTAGCTTTGGTGTGCCCTACGAGCGGAGCTGTGAGCGGTGCTGGGCATCCGGAAACCAGCGCTGCCCCGGGCGCTCCTCGTATGGTGCCATGGGCGTCAGCGAACAGCCGGAAGGTAGTGCCGTCGAGCCCATACCCGATGTTCTTGGCGGGCTGTGCTCAAGCTCTGAAGAGGACACGGATGACGTCCTATGGCACGCTCTTTCGTCCCCCGTTGTTGTCGTGCGCCATCGCTGTGCGGCGTGGCCGGCGTGGGGCGGCGCCGGAGGCCGTGCTGCTCGAAAGCGAGCCCCGGTGGCTCGGCCTTCTTCGAGTCCTCCGCCCGCCAGAGCCATTTGGCCGAGGAGATCCGTGGCCGTGATATGATATGGAGACTTACGCCGGGCGCGACAAGCTGGCCAACCTGGGCTTTTTATGAGTAAGTCTGTTTGGTGCACCTTTTTGTGTTTACTATTTTCGCCCGATTCATTTCTTTATGTATTGTGCCAAGTGCTAATATTGTGTATCTATTGCTGTGCAGGTGATGTCATGGCTGGACTCCTCACCCCGGAGGAGCGGCGCACCCCTTGATCGGCGCTTAGGTTTGGTCCGGGGCAGCCGTATGACGCTGCCGCCGGGTCGAGTGAGTATAGAATGTTTTATTTTGATCATCATTTGGCCTGTTGTTATTATTACTGTTTTCGATTGCCCTCGACGATTTGAGTTGTTGTTGTTGTTTGTGTTTTTTACGTGGCTCCTCCGACACCTCTATCTCAGGTTGGGAGGAGTGTTATCTTGCTGTTCTTGGAGACGTTGGAGGTGGTCTTTGGCTGTTGGTGTGTTTAACGTGAGATTTGCTTTTCTCACCTTATCGTTTTGTTCTTGTTTGTTCTTCTTTGAGCAGATCGCTTCAAACAACGTCTGAGGGACATGGATTTCTTCCAACTTCTCCGTGTTCATCTAGAACACCAGAGCCTGGTGCGTCTTCGGTGGTTTGCCCCTTTCCTTTTTCTTTGTGTATGCTCGCTTCTAGACTTGTTTTTGATTCCGTTGCTGATCGCTTTGGCTTTTCTCTCTCTGGTCGTAGGGGTATCACACAGGCGTTGTTATGGAAGAG